GATAGATAGATAGATAGATAGATAGATAGATAGATAGATAGATAGATGCATACATACATACATACAGACATACATACATACATACATACATACATACATACATACATACAGACGTACCTCTTCTACCAGTTGAATCATGTGGATCTGGTGTGCAAATACAATTAGAACTCGAGCTGTAGATTTCTTTATCACTTCAACAATTCTTGTTAGCTCAAGTGGGTTTTCGCCCCAAGGCAAAATCTCTAAATATGCCAGACAGCCTAATCCAGATTGGGTCAACACAGATTGAAAGGACTGGGCAACATGAAGTCCATAGTCATCATCGCTGACAAGCAGTCCAGCCCACATCCAACCAAAGTGTTTTAAAACTTGAATCATGGCATGCACCTACATAGGTCGATTATAGAAAATACAATTATTATTTTGTGTGTGTGTGTTTGTTTAAAAATTTCTTTTGACAACATAGTTCCATTGTCCTATTAAATCCGGGCAGAATATACGCATCGGTTTACATTTTGATGGGAGGGACTTTGTGGACAGGCACATTTTAGTTCAATATAAAAAGTTCTTAAAAACGAACAAACAAAACGGGAGTCTCACCTGGAAGGCATCATTAGGGATCGTTCTAAAAAAAGATGGAAACCTTTGGCGATCAGTCAAACAGGAGCATGTTGCAAAGTAACTCACCTGTAGAGAAAAAATACACATAAACATCTTCATCAAAGAGTTGCTGGATACAGTTTTACAACAACACTTTGTTATATTTCTGCAGTAGAAATAGAGAGGACACTTACAATGGGCAGTCTGAACAAACCCAATACATCAGAGGTGGCGATAGAAAATGTTGAGAAGGAATCACCCACAATCCCCAGGACTGGAGGGCTGCCCAAACATGTCTTCTGAGGAAGAAACTGTTCCTCTTGACCACTGGCCAGTGATAATGCAGCACTGAATCCAATTACTAAAGTGGCACAATTATCATGAAGACTATATCCAAGGGTCACATTAGGAAGCAGATTAGGGTCCTTGTTGATTTCCTCAATAGCAAATGCCATGGTCATGGCATGTCTGAACCCTGGTGGGTCAAAGCTTTAACACAAAATGGAACAATTAAACATTACAATTTGTCACAAAGTAAAAACAAGCTGCACTGAATTATCCATGCCTCTGATAATTTCATCAATGTGACACTTACCCTTGGCAGATGTGCTTATTTGGTTCCGAGGTAAACGTTAGCTCTGGGAAGACAGAGGTGTAGTGGACTTCAAACAGCCCGCCTAAAACTACATCACCAGGTTTGTGCATACTGTTAAAATGAAACTGTCTTCTCAGTTTGCAAGATGCAAAAACAGGAGAAAGTAGTGAAAAGTTAGCAAAGGAATATAACAATATTGAACAGTTATATAAAGACAAAGACGATTGGGGAAACACCCCCATAACTGCATGTCCTCGTTATGACACTGCTTCTAATTTTGCTGAGTGGTCATTTTATAAGTGTTGACATTTCCTACAAATTGTGTCATCATAGTTGGGGAGGGCATAGGGAATGAACTCTAAAGACACTGAAGGTTCTTTTTTTTTTTAAACTGATACGTGTTTTTAATATTCACTGAAATTGTTCCCTAATGTTAAAGCAAGAGCCTTTTTTCTCATTGTTTTCTTCAAGCACAATAAATATAATCGATTGGATGCAAATTATTTTTAGTGCCTACATAACAGTTTACCTGCATTTCATATTGAGAGCTAACTTTAAAATCCAAGGCTTTTAGGAACACATTACTTGTATTTATTGACACTAGTGATTGCATTCAAATTACATTGCATCATCAGTATCTTACAAATTGATTATTGATCACTCAATTTAAAAACAAAAACAAAACTTCTATTGATTAAAGCAGATTTGTCACAATAATGACCAAACCTCTTGAAGAGGTCAATCATTCAATTCAACGTCCACCTTAGTGGTGCCAATTGTCAGTGATGCACTTGCTGTTGTGAGAGTGTCTCCAGCATGTCCCAGGAACAGCCTCAGAGATCTCTGTCCAACAAGTAAGATACTGCACAGAACCCTTTGGTGTAGGTTTACAATGTCCCATGTGGAAAATGGAGATCTGAGAGCTTGTATATTTCTTCTTCTTTTGGCTGTTCCCGTTTCAGGGATCATCACCGCAAATCATTCTCTTCCATCTCACCCTGTCTTCTGCGTCCTCTGTCCTCACTACAACTACCTCCAGGTCCTGTCTCCTCTTTGGCCTTCCTCTGTCTTTTTCCTAGTCCTTTGTTTATTGCAGGTGTTTGGTTCCAAGCCCCACATCCCCCCGTAAGTGAAATTCCACGAAGTAGCGATGTTATATATATATATATATATATATATATATATATATATATATATATAGGCTTTAGAAACCCTTCCCACACTCTTGCAATGTTCTAAACTCTTAAACCTACTAATTTTAACAACATACATATATGTACAGTAGCTTTTAAATTGTACTTACTAGTGTGTCCACATTTGCTGGTTGAAAGACAATAAGAACTGGCTGTGGACGAGATGAATCGACGGATCTTGAGCTGCGCTCGTTCGCTGAGGGCTGAGTCTTCATCTGCCGGTTAAAAGACATTAAAAACATGGTCATGGGCAAGAAGGAGCGCCGGACCTTTGGCGCGCATCCCCGCTTGGAAGCTCTCGTGTGCTGGCTAGAATTTTCTGGGTTAACCGCTGAGTCTGGGCATCCAGTTTTGTGCAGCCAATCAGTGCTCGGGTTTTGTAAAGTTTAATTTTCTTAAATGAACTTGTCCAAGTGACATGATTAAAACCTTATGTTTGAAAAGTCAAACATGCCATGACTTTGCTTTCTGGTTGGCAGAAAGCAGCGTCCGGAACATTGTTGCCAGGTAAGAAATGTAGGATTATCGTACTAGAGACATAAAATTATCGTATTTTGAGGGAAATTATCGTACACCGGTCATAACCAAAATAACAAATCTATTGATGCACTATAGTAGTGATGGGGCCGCTTCCAGACTGGCTCTGTTTCTTCTATTTTTCTTTTCTTCACTCATGGGGCGGGCGCAGCGGATTATCAGCCAATCATGGCCGTTGTTCTGAGGCAAATGCAAACACGACACTTGTAGGTAACATTTAGATTTGTTTGCGGACACAGATGCCTTCAGGGTTCACAAAAAAACTCAGACAGACAGTTGCGACAGGCTTATGACAACCGATTACAACCACACATTCACGGAATGATCAAATTATCGTATATTTGGCCTTTTTTGGGATTATTGATCGTACATCGTACAGAGGGCAAAATTGTCATACAAATACGATAATTATTGTACACCTGGCAACACTGGTCTGGAAGCACTACAATACAGCAATGCATGACTTATGGGCAATGTAGTTCTTATGAGTTAAAGAAAACTACAAAATGGCAATGCCTGTCTGAATTCATTATTTTTAAAACTTTTTCCCAACCACGTGAGTACAATAATATTAATGTAAAGTTGACAATCATGTGTCCTGTATGGTACTTTACAATTTAAAAAAGAAAATATATTAATGTGCATGGACAAGCTGCGATATAGCGAGTCCGCGGAAGTCGAACCGCAAAGTAGCGAGGAATTACTATATATATATATATATATATATATATATAT